GATTTTATGAAAGTTTTTCGTTATACAATTTAACATGTTTTGTGTTCTCATTTACCGTAAATCATATAACACCTACACTTCTTCAAAAATCAAGCAAACGAATTGAAAACCTTAAAGGCCTCCTACATTCAAATTTTATAGCTCGAATCCAAGAACATGATAGTGACCACATCCCGTCTAATTTCCCACGTTACGCTAGTCAAGTCTTGCCTATTAAGTCAAGTATTACACTAAAGAATTGTCGGTAAAAGATCGTTAGAGAGCGGTTAGTTGGTAAAAATCATTTCAAAGAAAATGATTAAGAATAGTTATTACATAAACACGAAGACTACTACAGCATAATAAATTTTAGTCTTAGAATTTACGCTCGCTGCTATAAAATTTAGTCATGAGACGAAGAAAGGGAAGGGAAGAAGGTGGGGTGGGGCCAGAGGGGGTTTCCAGACGTAAAAAAAAATGAAAAGGCCGGGTAATGGGGCTGACCAGTAGCTGACACATCGGGTATATTTTTCATGTTATTGGGTACTACGATCACGATTAATCATCTGTCCTCTATGAGATAATCTGCACAAGCTTAAGAAAACATTTAGAGCCAGCACAACAGAAGACCTGTTAGGAGTTCATCGGAGAATCGTCCTTTACACATAGGAGAATATCGTAACGAAAAACGATTCTTGCTACGGATTACTAGGAGTAACACATTCCGAAAATGTGCATTTTTTATCTACAGTCTTTGGCACTAGTAAGTTCTACGAAGAAATATTTCCCTTAATTATTTATTCCCGTCTTTAATAGAGGAAAAAGAACAGGCTCAAAAAAGTTCTATATTTTTCTAAGTAGATATCATTGCATCATTTCACATTGCATCGCAGACGCAATAATTATTTTCCAGAACGCATTACGGCTACGTAAGCGGCGATTTTATTGAATTCAATGTTTAGGGTTCTTAATACCGCCATAAAATAAAAAGCGCCAACGATTGCTAAGGTTTTTGCCAATCTCATTAATATTGCTGCATTAGATATTCGAGGTACGTTATGTGAACGATGCACTTAAAATATTCACACATTCATTTTACAGCCGAAGAAACAGTCGTAATCTGGAGTATTTTTCAAAAGTTCATGGACGGCGTCAGAATTTTAATTAGTTTTAATGAAAGAATTTTAATTAATATATTCGTACCTTATTAAAATTGCTGTGATAACTGCTGTGTTGCGAAACTGCGCATTTACACTTGCAATTCGTGAACTATTTCATCAAATAAAACAATGCACTAATAAGTAACGGTATTTCTATAATTTATTTATTTTGCCTAGATAGAGACTTATCAAATACTATAGCCCTTTATGGTTACTCATGACTTAAACAAGAATTATTGTAATAATGATGATGCGTTCAACTGACAATGGATAAATTCGAATGAATATGGGTTTTTCCAATTGGTGAGTTCCACTATCTGAGCTTGAATGTGAAAATTTACATAATGAAAAGAACAAAGCGTATAAATGATAAACAAATTGATTTTGCAAATAGACCTTTTCTGACATTAAACATCCGTGTGGTGACGGATTAAGAATACGGACTGTCACCACCCCTTTACCAGACTAATCCTCACATTTTATTTTATTCATCTACGGAATCTCTCAATGAAAATAGAATGTGACTCGGCTCTTTGTTGACAGCAAAATTACAGAGTGGTTAGTGGATAGGAGGCGCAGGCGCACCCGCTCTGGTTCTAGGAAATGCAATGGAAACAGGCTCGTGTGTCATTTGCGCGCTCCTCGGGAGCTTAGATTAATTGTTACCTTACAGTACTTACGCGAGCCACTTTAATGTGGTGTTTCCTCAATCCAGCCGAGAAATAACCGATGTTTCTACTCTTACATGTATAATATTATGTACAAATGGTATACTGGTGTTACCAGACTTATAATACTAATAAGTTAAATATAGCTTGAGAGCTGGTGCGTTTTCTGTGTATTTATTTTGCTAGTGTATTTATAATTGCTTGTTTCCTCTACAAGTTAGGAATGATATTTTAAATAGTAGCTGTTTAACATTTTAAACTGCCAAGGGCCAGCACATTGGTTTAAAATCGATCACCAGTAGTGAGCCATATATTATTATGTCCTTAACCATATTTAATTCGCACCCATGATTGGTAGTAATAGACCCTAATTAGTGAGCGTGTAAGCATGTGATGCACTTTCAGATAAATTGGCAGGTGAAGTACCTAAGACGGATTAAGAATATGGAATGTCACCACCCCTATTCATCCCGTGGGTGTCGTAAGAGCCGACTAAGGTAGCAAACTACGCAGGACAACAGAACTGCAAAGAAAAGGAAAACTTGAAACAAATCTTATACCAACCCGTCTCGCCAGCGTGGTATAGTAGGCCAAAACCTCCTTTCTAAGGAGAGGACTATGTCAAGCAGTGGACTGTTTTAGGTTGTTGATGATGATGTTGTTCGTTAATAATGAGATGACTCAGCTGAGGAAATAATTGACCGTGTGTGTGTATTTAAAAAAGCGTAGACTAGGCGGACAGTATGGATATGGGCTGATAGTTTTCCATGTTACTTTGGTCTCCACTTTTATAAATTGGTGTGATGAAAGCCCTTTTCCAAATGCACGGGCAAACCCCTACCCTGAGACATTTCTTAAAGAGTATATGCAACGGAATGTCGATGCATTACGCTGTGTGCTTAAAGAACATAGGTGGGAGTCGACCTATGCTCTTTAAGCACACAGTTCTTTATGTTATTTAAATTTTCACGATGTACAACTTTGATATAAGGAAAACATCAATGCAATGTTGTATCAGACAGGTAAAAAAAAAAAGAAGAAAAAAAAAAGGATGCAATTAAATCTCAAGCCTTAATTTGATAACTTAGCTTCATCGTTTATTGTAAATTACAATAAATAAACTTAAGTTATAGTGACACAAATAGTTAAAACATTATGTACTAGAGTAGAAATGAACCTTGTTCCCCTATATACATAAATATAACAAACTAAATATTACAACTCCAAGAGAATGTATAATTGGGCGCTGTAGTTGACATCATTAGAACTCGGTTACGACTAGTTTTACTAGTTAGTAGTAATATCTTCTTAAATGATTGCCGTAATGGCCAACGCCCAGTTACATTACTTCTTGTATTGTCGTTTCACTAGGTACTGCTTTTGGTGATCAATCACTTTGACTCAACTAGACTGGAGCGTCATTCTAATGCTCCTTACCTAAGTTTTAGGCCCGTATATTAAAAGACGTCTCAAGTATCGGTTGATCTCTGATTATCTGAAATTAGTTTTAAGTTCGGATCAAAACTTAAGCATCGATCATATTATAGAACGTGTATTAAGTTTTACTCAGTTGAAACTAATCTCAAGCATTGATTTGAGCTTACAGTCTATTTTCAATTACGTTTAGGCATGATCGACATGATTATTCTGTATCAAACAGCTAATTATATTTAAAAAAAAACTTTTACAAACATAATTTCTGTAAATTTGGCAAGTGTAGCAATGTAAACATATTAACAATTTGAATGTGAATTTAGGTAAATTGTATATTTTTGTCAAGTATTTTTTCTTAAACAAAGTAAAGTAAATCTTTTGTAATTATTTAGAAACAAATAATCGTAAAACACGTTCATTTACACTTAAATGCCCTAGAGGTGAATGCTTAAGACTAGTTTTAGCTTGTCTCACGTAAATAAAGATCACGTCTGTGAAAATCTATACTTGAGTGAAGATTTCGACTTAAACATTGTTCTAAAATAACTACACTACACACTACGCGAGTATGGATCGGTGAATCTTGTTTTAAGTGATGTTCAATAATAAAATCTCTACTTAAAATGAGGTTTAAGATTAGATTCACGACTGAGACACCTTTTAAAATACGGACCTTACAGTGTTATTATGTGATTGCAGTTACTATTTTTTTTTCTTTTTTTAAAAGACAACTCCCGCACTAGGAATATATCCTGTGACCAGGGGACTTTACAAACATATATAAAACGGCCATGTAGATCACACATAGTGTCGTCCCATGTGGGGATCGAACCCACAACACTCGGCGTAGTAGGAAGCGGCGTGGCGACCGCTTAAACCACTAATCCGCGTAGTCCTTTAGCAACCTAATCATGCAACGAAATTTCTAGTCACACAAGGAGTTTAGTCGAGTGAGTGAGCACCTGTTTTTTGGTTTCTTTTACACTTTATTCTAGCACATTTAAGTTAAATTTATACATAACAAACATTAATCAATCAAAATCAATTACTTTATAATATCGTTAAATTGGTTACTAATTATTTGATATTTTTTAATAAATTTAAAATTATAGATAAACACACGTGAAGCCACCAAGTCAAGAACACCCAGACTCAGAACAACTATTTGTGGATCACACAAAGTGTGTGTCTCATGAGTATTAGTGATGACACTGATGCACGGAAAAACTCGAATGAGTTTATGCGGCATCTTACTGTTTAAACTGTGTACCTTATTTTGTAACAATAAATAAATAATAAATGTGGGGATCGAACCCATAACACTCAGCGCAGTAGGAAGCGACATCACCACTACACCATTCAAGTAGTTATGATATATCTATCTGGTAAATTAAAAGGCTGGCCGTGCTTTTGTTTTCTCGATTTTTTTCTCGCAAAGCTCAACAATTCGGAAATAGATTCACACGAGCAGATCCAATATTATACGTTTAGTAGTAGTATGTTTTAAATTTCATATTTTATATTTACATTGGAAAAAACTTCCAAACAAACTTTACTTATTTACTTAAACTATCGGTAAACTTTTGTGGTATACGATGGTTACCTCCAGATTTTAACTAATAATAAACACTCTTTATTGACCGACTGAATGTATTATATCCCTTTATATAAACATATAAATATTCGTAAACGTAATGACTCGAACAGAGTCTTTTCTCTCTCTCTTCTTTCTGTTTTACATTACAGTAGCGTAACACAGTTATTCAGAATCCTCCTCTAGCGTGCCTTGAAATGCTTTCGCTGGTGGCCTTAGCATCTTCGTTCTGGCCGCCAGCCTTATAGTAGCCGGACCGAGGGTGTTGGGATTGTGGGGTACGGGTGTTGCTCCTAGACCAGTCTTACCTTCGTTTGAAATTAGAGGCACCTATAAAAAAAAACATAAAAATTAAAAAGGACCTTTCTTCACAAAAAGAAAGGAATCAGAGTGTCTTAGTTCAGATTTATAACATGTATAATTTACGTCCCATAATTCAGATATAACTAGGATCGTAAGATATAAAGTCATTTATTTTAAAATTCACCCAATCCGATTGACTTTTCATATGACCTTTAAGTTTTTGGAGGTTTTTTAAGTTTATAGAACTTCCATATTATATTGAAATTTAACTTTGGCTTTGTATCTCACAAATGAAATGACAGTTACTACTACATTGATCCATTAATATGTAAAAACTAGCTGACCCGGCAAACGTTGTTTTGCCATATACATTATTTCAAAAAAATTGTCAAAAAAAAATTAGGGGTATGAAAAATAGATGTTGGCCGATTCTTAGACCTACCCACAAAAATTTCATTACTATCCATCCTACATCCTATTCACACAAAATTTCACGAAAATCGGTAGAGCCGTTTCAGAGGAGTTCAACCACGCACACCGTGACACGAGAATTTTATATATTAGAACATAATATCTACCTCTAAAAAGAGTATTTTTTTATTTGTCAGTATTTTGCTTCTAGATGAAAGTATCCTATGTACTTGCTTACCTTCTATGCCATAAAATAACGTAAATGCTAAAGTAAATGAACATCGATGAAAGCTTAACAGATAAACAAACTGACATCCGAAGTTATAATTATGATTAAAAAGTAATTTACAATAAAATAACTTTTATTTTTAATACATTTACATTCATACGATCGGACTACACGTTACGTATTATTTGACCTCTAGACGTAACTTGTGTTTCAATTAGAATTAGGTAAATTAATCCAGACAATATTTCACATACATTAGATGTAACGGGCGCGTAAGCCGGCTTAGTTGCGTGTCTGTGAACAACAGGATAGTTGAACCTGTTTCACCGCTCGTTACAGAAAACATGTGAATTTATCTAGCCCATTATGAACGGAAATTATTAGATCCTGTCGGACTCAAGTAAAAATTCAAAATTAAGAAATGTATAAGTTACTTTGCCATTTACATTATCTTATGATGTCATATTAAATTTAAGGCGAGATAGCGGCACGACACAAGGCGGCTAATGTTTTCTTTTTGTAAGAAGGCCCATTACGTATTTAGTGTATTTTTTGTTAGTTAGCATTTAGACTATGAACTTTAAATCTTGGATTATCTCTACATAAATATCAATACTTTGTACATTTAAAATAATCTGTTAAGTTAGATTTTTAATCATCAAATTCTTTCAAGTTAAAAAAGGACATCTTTCCAGTATATTCTTTACTGTTCTGTGTATCTATGTGTGTAACGTGGTCAGTACAACAAATTGATGCGTGAAAAAAGGGGCCATTGAATCAGTAGACCATAAATGACGGGTAACTACGCATGCATTAAGCTTAATGATAGACAGACGCACAGACAATGTGTGATTAGCAATACATTGTCCAGACGGGTGAACATCCTAGACGGACGGAAGTCTAGATTTCCTGTATCATACCTACGGACCCGATGAGTGCCGAGTTTATTCGTATGGTGATATAGAGGGCAACGGCATGCACCGTGCAGCCAAAACAATTCCATATATAGTGGATTCAATGCCGGTCACCGCACGGCTAGACTATTTTTTGTAAGCAGAAAAACTGCTAGGCACAAATGCATTCCGATGGATAGGATTTTATTACTGGCACCCCGAAAGAATAATAAAAGAGGTTGCTTCATGTATGAATGAAATCATCCGGATTTGGTCACGGACCCAATTGGACTTGTTTTTACGACTTTTTATTCAATGATTGTGTTGTTGACTGGCTTAATTTTGTATATCCAATTAATTGTAACAGTTTAACTCTATAATAGATTATACATAAAATTGTATTTGTAATATATTACATTATTATTTCATTTGACGGTTAAATTAATTATTAAATTGTTTTTTTTAGAATGGACTTAACCAATAATTTAATACAATATTATTATAGAGTCGAAAAGCATTCACACAATGCGATAACCATAATTGTAGCACATTACATCAATTTTAGATTAGTAAAAGGCTTAGTTAGACTTAAGTTGCGTAGAGGAACACACACTGTCCATTACACAACGATCATACCGATTATATGAAAATACCAGTAAAAGGAGATTGGCGAAGTTAGGCCTAACCGTTACTGGAATTTGTCTATAGTCAAAATAAATGTCGTTATTTTTAATAAGTACTCCAAAATAATTAGTTACCGGTTCTACGGGGTATAATTTAGTTCCTAAAAGGTTGTAGTATTGACTCCCTGTTTACAAAGAAGGAAAGGAAACTAAATCAACAGAAAATGTTGCCAGTGGTAAAAAAAAATGTTTTGATTAGAATTGTCGATTATTGGTAATATTCCCAAATAAGAAATGACTTCTTTGTTAACATGTGTTACAAATAGTCATTAAAGTGAGTCGGAGATGCACTATGGCGATGAATACATTTACCTGGGCCAGCTAGTATCCTTCAATAACAGTTAAGAAAAAGAAATCGATTATCGCATTGATAACTATTGGAAGAACTGCTAGTCCTACAAACACTATATGAAGAGTGACTTATCAATATCTTTTAAAAAAACTCAAACTCTCACACACAGTATATTATTACCTGTGCTGACTAGAGCCCAATTGCTGGTCAAAAGTTAAAATGGGGGTTGGTCAGAGGGCTATGGAATGAATCATTCCTGGTACTAGGCCAAAAACAAGAGCCGGGTTCATGTAAGAAATGTGGACTTGCGTACCATGACAAGAGTACCTAGCAGACGCGATCGAGATAACATCCATATTAAAGTGGAACTCAGTCGAACACGTTAGGCGTATGAATCCGATGCGGTAGGCTAGAGTTGTGATGCCGTGATACCCACAGGAAAACATCGTCAGGGACCTCCATGCCTATCAAAAGGCAACCGGTGTCAACTCGCTAAAGATCGAGATAGATGGGAACGGAAAGGGAAGGTCTTTACTGAGCAATGGGTCATCAAAGGCTAATATAAAAAAAGCATGCATTGATGATAATGATGAATAAATACATTTTTTTGTGTGCGGTTTTTATTTATTAGATTGCAATTACCGACACATTATTATTAAATACTGCAACTGCCATTAATTATCTTTATATTATGATGTTTGCTTGCTGATACTTGAAAGATTCATAAAGGTATAATTATAACTATTTGTCAAAATGATGTCGATGATTTTGTGGTGATGTGATGTGTGGTGATGATGATTTTCGATCCCCTATAGTACTATCACGCAATAACCTAACTTTTAATTCAATTGGATTGGATCGGGCTGTAGTTGACAGTCTCAATCCATCTATGGTAATAGATCTCACAGCTGACGATGATACTAGTAGTTGTACTTATAAACCTAACAAAATTGTAAAATGCAGCTTGAGAAAATTGAAAAAATACATTAAAGTTAAAAAAATAATTACCAAAACAAAAAAAATGATTCACAAACAAAAATTTTTTATTAATAGTATGTCACTAAATAGGCAGAGACTTCATCTGATTGATCAGGTGTCTATGTACTCATTAGAACTAGACAACATGTCGAGTCAATACATTAAAGATACAAGAGAATTACAAAGTGAGATTGACCGTCTTAAAGAACAACTTAGTAATATTACCTATAAATATGAAATTTCCCAAAAGCAGAGCAGGGAGCAGGTGCTGGCTATTGGCAGGCTGGTTAACTCCTGTAAATGTAATGATTCAGTGTATTCTATAGACAGCCCCAGGACAGCACATGCTCCTTCCTCGCTGCCACCACAACCTATCAGAACTTTTGTACCTGAATTCAAGGACTCCCATTTACAAACAAACAAATTGTACAAAAATGATAACATAGCAATGTTTAGTGATGAAATTGGAAAGGGCATGGGTCCCTTAATGTTAAATACACAGTTGGGACATTCATTCAGCAATTATTGCATGCCTCACTCATCTTTTAATGATATTATGGAAAAAGTTTTAAATTCCAAATCAGACCACAATGTAAATACTTCATTAGTCATTTTTGTTGGTAACAGGGGAAATGTAAACAAAAAGAAATTCTTAGGCTACTTTGAATCATTGTTAAAGTTAGATGTAAATAAAATTGTATTGTTTACACTTCCTCTTAGCAAAGGGTTGTCGCAGAAGGAAAGAAATGTTAGATATAATTTAAATATAATGATGCACAACCTAACTTGCCAAATAAATGGACCCTATTGTAATAAATTACATCTAATCGACACTAACAAGCTTGTTAGTAATAATATTTCATTGACGAAAGGTAGATATTACCTTTCTAATTATTATAAGAGACAGATAGCAATTTCGCTATCATATTATTTTTCCATTACAGCCAAGAACTTGGCTAAAACTATTGCTTCTATTGAGCAAATTGACATTACCCATAGCGACTTTGCCAATCCGTTGGCAGTTTCTTTAGACATTAATAAAAATTTAAATGACATACCTAATAATTTACATAATAATGAGATTGACATTTCAAATAATTTAAATTTACTGATAAGACAATAGAGACTACCTCTTGCAATATTAATTTGATCACTAATAGAAAGTTCAATCACAGTAAATTTATTAAAAATAATATGATAAATAATATAAATTTGGTGCATCAAAACATTAGAGGAATGATGGGCAAAGACTTGGAGGTGGAACTGTTCATGAACTGCAATGCAATTGATATTTTTTGTATTACTGAACACTGGCTAAAAGGGGATCAGTTTATGTTCAATTTTGACCACCACCAGGTAGGCAGCTCGTTCAGCAGAAGTACAGCAATACATGGTGGCACTATGATACTCATTAATAAGAAACTTAAATTTAAAGAGCGCCATGACATTGTTAGTTTATCAGTTGAGCGAACTACAGAAATAGCCTGTTTAGAACTAAAAGGTTTCATAGTAGTATGTGTATACAGACCTCCTTCAGCTAT